TGTCAAAAAAATAAATAAAATCTTTAAAAAAAAATTAAAAAGATAAAAATACAATTTAAAAAAATTAAAATTGAAGTATACAGTTGGGAAAGGAAATACTGGTTTTTGTTGATGATTGGCAACTATCTCTAAGAGGAAGAAGTTTGTTTTCCTTTCCCTCCAGAACCTAGAGAAAAACCTCTGTGCTGGGTTGATATCAACCACTGGTATCAGCTGCCAGAGATTTTGGATTTTCAAGACAAAGACTCAGCAGAGGTTGACATTTGCTGTAAACTCATATTGAAAGCACCTTATCTGGGCTCAAATATTCTCCCTTCTGGGACAGAAAAGAAGTCCCCAAGTGTTGGTCCCAGAGGTCCTGTGGATCACAAGTATCTTTCCTACACATCTCCCTTCAGTGCACTGAACATCCTGGCAAGGCGGGTTTAGGCTTGAGGAGGCTGATGCCCAGAGAGGTGAAGGTACGTGCAGTTGGCTGGGTTTCATTCAGTCTGATGAGTACTTCCGAACCCACTTCCCATCTGTCCCTTTCAATCGTGGAAGAGGGCAAGGCCTGGGTCCTCGCTGCTCCCCTCCCCACCCATTTTGCACACGAAGAAACAGGTCCAGGGAGGTCCTGATTGGTCTTGTGCTAGGGGGAGTGGGCTGAGGGTCTTTCCCACTGCAGGACACCTGCCATCAGAGCCCTGTGATGGTCTCCTGTGTCGAATGGTGTCTTTGGCAGGGGCTTGCTCAAGAATTCCAGTGAATCCCCAGCCCCCAGGATGGCTGTAGCATCACAGACAAAGGCCTCCTGGCTCACATCCCGTCTCCTCCAGTTTCTAGCTCTTTACCTTAGACAGATCACTTAACCTCTCCCTGTTTCAGCTACTCACCTATAAGTGAGAAGAGAATTAAAGAAGAGTAAAGCCATCAGAACAGTACCTAGCCCACTGAAAAGCTACAGGAGTACTCTCCAAATAAATAAAGGGCTTCAGCTCTGCCTAGTTCTGAAGGTTTGGGCTCCTGCCATTCCATCCAGGGGGCCCTGGGTGGGGGCCCCACTGACGCTGAAGAGTGCCTGCCCTGTGGGCTCCCCCCGCCCAACAGCAGGCACTTTCCAGACCTTGTCATGCTCTCTCCAGCAGGATAAGGGGAGGCTTGGTGTACTAGTTCCCAAGATGAAGGAACAGGCCCCGAGAGGACACTGCCAGTGGGTGACAGGGCTGCGACCAGGCCACGCCTACCTGCCTCCAAGATGGGCCTGGGCCAGGCCCACCAGCTGCCTCTTGGGTCTGGAACTCAGGCTGGAGGCTACCTGGCGGGGGCTCTCTGCCCACCAGGCTTCACGGCACAAGCCCCCTCCTCCCGGAGTGTCCCTGCTTGTAGAGTAGCCGGTGGCCGCGAGGCCCTGACAGGAGGGGCTGTGGACACCTGCCTGGCAACAAGGCCAACCCTCTTCTCTTGAGCGGGTTTATGCTTGAGCTCAACTATTGCATCGCGTGCCTCCGTCTGAGAGGCGGGGAGATTGAGACCAGCTGCTGCCGCCTGAATTCTCCCAGAGCTTGCCGGGTGACACCCCGCTCAGGCTGTCACACCATTCTGGTAGGAGTCTCTCCCAGCAGCGACATTCAAGGTTTGTGGGCTGGATTGGGGCCAGTGGTGGGCAGGGAGCGAGGGGAGCAGGAGGGCTGGGGGAGCAGGAGGGCTGGGGGGAGCAGGAGGGCTGGGGGGAGCAGAGAGCTTGGCATTTCTCCAGCAAAGAATCACAGGAGAACACTACTTCTTGCCTGTGATGGACTTATCAGCCTGCCGAGTGCAAGGCTGGTTTCTCCATCTTTCTCCTCTCTGCCGGCCTCTTTCATCCCCCACCCTGCTTTGCCTTGCTCCAGGGAGCCTGAGCCCCTTGCTCCGGAGTGAGGGCACCGGAGACACTTCTGTGGCTCCCAAGCCAATGGTCAGGCCCATGTCTTTAAAACAAGGACGACCGAGAGGGTCAGGACCCCAGGATGGTGGGTTGAGAGCTGGAAGGAACTATGGAGAGCCAGCCCTATTTAATACAGAGGAAAAAGGAGAGACCCAAGGCCGGGAGAGAGGAGGCCATGGCCAGGTCCCAACAGCAAGTCAGGAGCAGAGAGCTGGGCTGAACCTGGTGTTATTCACACCCTTCCCACCACATCCAGATAAGGGTTCCTCCAAAAGCAGCCAGGCTGGCGGGGGCCTGCCCTCGGGGTGGGCAGGCAGCAGCCGAGAGGGAGCTCTTTTCCTCCCCACCTCCTGCCTGGTCCTGGAACCCAGCACCATGCCGTCCTCACCCTTCCTGACCATCTCCTTTCTGGCCCAAGAGGCTGTTGTATATCTGGCCAGGCTGGAATCCGTGCTGACTCATGGTCCCCTGTGGGCCCAAATGTGGAGGAAGGTCAGCTGGTGGGCCTGAGTACGTAGGCCCAGGGGTGAGCTCCATCTTCTCTTTGGCCCAGCGGGCTTCTCTCTGCCACCAGGTCTCTCCTCATCCATGAGGATCCCCACTGCCCCAGACCTGACCTGGCTCTGCATGGGAGACTTAGGCTGCTGGCTTCCCCACTCTGGGCCTCAGTTTCCCGCCCCCAGACATCTTTAAATGCCCTCCTTGTCTTTGCCCTGCCCAACACCTAGTTGGGCTGTACTCCAGCTCTCCACACAAGGCTGGGGTGGGAGGGGCAACCATGACTTTAGGCTTCTGATCTGGAGCCTGCCCTGATGGTCCTTAGGGGGATGGGAGATAGCCCCCTGCTGGGTACAGGCTACCCCTGGGGCAGCCCTAGGAATGCTCCACCCCCGACTACCCGCTGCTGGATGTGCCCACCTCCACCTCCTGCATGCTTTTTTGGGGTCCACCAGAGGGAAGGACTGTGCACGTGGGCCTTCAGGGCCTGCAGGGAACACACAAGCTCTTTGTCTCTGGTCGGAGGTATCTCCTAACCCCGTGGAGTTGCCCACTAAGTACAGGGAGCCTGGGGGGGTGGGTACTAGGGGTGGTGGGCAGCACTTGCTCTGTGGGCGATGAACCTTGCCTCCTGTCAGCACAGTCTTGTCCCCAGTCCAAGGGGTCCTGGGCTCAGGCACAAGATTACTGTGGGGCTCCATTCTGAGCTTTGCCCCTCTGTGGCCTCCCAACCTACTCCTCTCCAAGCCCCACCCAGATGTGAAGGTCAGGTCCCTGGCAGCCTCCTCTAACTCCCCAGCCCACAGGTGGACCCAACCCCACACCTTGGTGTCTGACCAGGGAGCACCTGGGGGATGTCATTGTGAGCTTGGTCCCTCCCTTCCAGGTCGACAGCATCCTTGAATCTTTGACCACCCCTCCTCTCCACCCCAAAAGCAGGGCTGGCGCTCAGTGGCCCTGAGGTCCACGGTGCAGAAAGGCTGAGGCAGAGCAGGACATCACCGTTTACTGTGGGATCGGCACAGCAGGTGCCGGGCGCTTCCTGCCGAGGGAAGCCTGACAGTCCATCCTGGGTTGACCATCTGGACTCTGGTGAACCCCTTCTCCTTCCATCCCCTTCATCCCAGGCTGCGCATTTACACTGGATTTCTGGGGGCCTGGAGGGCCTCCATCATCCCCCATGCCATGTGCCTAGGAGCATTGGCACTCAGGCAGGAGCCAGGGTGGGTGGCGGGTCACCTCGTGCAGCAGGCCTGGGGCTCAGACCCTGGCCCAGCGGCTGCAGAGCCCCAGGTGGACGCAGCAGAGGTGGCCCCAGCCACGCCGCCCTCAGGCTCAAGGTCCAGGCCCTCGTAGATGGTGGGGAGTGAGGTGCGCTGGCTGAGCCGCCGGCGCAGGCCGACCAGCAGGGGCTGGGGCAGGGAGGTCACGTCCACATTGTTGCCCAGGTCCACCCAGGCCAGCGCGGGGAACTTGGCGGAGTCCTTGACGGCCTCAGTGAGCTCGCGAGCAGTGGCCCTCGTCAGCCTGTTGCCGTTGAGCAGGAGCTGGGTGAGGTGGGGCAGCGTCCAGAGGCTGGGCAGCATCAGGCGCAGCAGCTCGTCGCTCAGCCCCGTGAAGCTCAGGTCCAGCACCGTGAGCCCGGCTCCCTGGCTTCCCAGGTAGCGCATGATGTGCCGCACATCCCTCGTGGACAGCAGAATCCCCGAAAGGTTCACGGTCTCCCCCGCCAGCTGAGTCATCTGGAGGCTGCTCTTGAGGCTGTGGGAAGGTGGCAGGCAAGGATGGACTGAGCAAGGGTCCATGGCCCAGGCAGGTCCCCACTGGCTGCAGATAGTGACCTGTCAGGGCAGCCCGCGGTAGTAGTGGGACCCAGGCCCTACAGTCAGGCCATGCTACTTTCTAGATGGGTGGCCATGGGCAATTCTTGGAACCCCTCTGAGCCTCATTTTCTCCTTTGGTGAAAAGGGGACCTGGCTGTTGTGAGGAATAACATGTGTTAAGCTTCCCCGAGCCATTATTATAAAAACCTACTGCATGCCTGCGTGGCTACACCTGTTACATCTAGAGTAAGAATGATTATCCCATTCTGCTGAGGAGCAAATGACGCTCAGAGAGGTGACAGGACTCTTGCATGGTCCCACACCGCTAAGAGGGAAGCCAGGTCTTCAAACTGAGGTGCTCTGACTCCTGAGCCCACACCTCCTCCAAGGTTGACCCTTTGTGGGTACAGATAGATGTTCCTATGAGGGTGACACGGTATCAGGCTGGTCCCCCCGGCTTTGGGGGCTAGAGAGGGGACAGGCCCAGAGTAGCAAGAGGGGAGGTGTTGGGAGGTGTAGGGGTGGGCTGTTGGGAGGTGAAGGGCCCCCTGTGTTCTAAGCTGGAAAGGAAGTTTAGAGACCGAGAAGGGACCCCCACCACCCCTGGAGCCCCCTCTAGGACTCTCCTGTCATTTGAACATGGCCGTACTATGCATATAGGCAGTGTGACCACCTCCAGGGCCCTCACCCACCGTGGCAGGGAACAACCCCATGGGCTCTGGGCTCATCGAGAACCACCAGGCTCAAAGGATGGGGAAGCAAGTAGAGGAGAGCTCTGGGGCTGTGGTTCTGGGTCCCTGGACCTGGTTGTCTGCAGCCAGTCCCCGGGCTGTCTGGCCGCGGAGCTGTGATGGAGTGACTGGGAGGGGGACCCCATGGCAGAGCAAGCTCTCAGGCTGGCTGTGGAGGCCTTGGCTTCAGGCAGCCTGGCAAAGGCTTTTCAAAGAGCTGTAGGAAAATCAGGGCAGGGTGTGGCCTTGGGCAAGCCACTTTGCCTCTCCCAACCTCAGTTTCCTTTCCTGTAAAACTGGAATCATGTCCCAGAATCTGTCTCCCTCCATAGCGTGTTGTGAGGATTCAGCAGACGTCTGCTGAGGTCATCTTGGCCCGGATCAGGGCCAGGCCCTGTGATAGGCCAGGGATTGAGGGGCGAGCAAACGGCAGGAGGCAGGTCACACAGAGGGTGCAACTTGGCTTGGGGAGCATTCCAGGGCTGTGGTGCAGACAAGAGTGAGGGGCTCACAGGGTAGGGTTTCAGGCACCAGCCTCTTGCTGAGCTGACTCTCCATGCCAGCCTAGGAAGGGACCCTCAGGGGCCACGAGGTGGGGCTGTGGCTATAGGCTCCCCTTACCAGCTCTGGGTCTTCCTCCGGGGCAGGCTGGACCCCCGCTGCCGCTTGGAGTGAGGGGTGAGGTGGTAGATTAGCTGCCGGCAGATCTTATCCGAGGACTTCCAGAGCTCATAGTCCTGTTGAGGGGCAGCGTTGTCAGGGTGAGGCTGAGCCCCTCCCATCCCCCTCTGGGCCTTGGGGATCCAAGTGTGTGGCCCAGCACATGATTCATCATGGATCACTGAGCTGCCCACTAGCCTCCCCCTCTCACCCCCCACCCTGGCTGTAGCCTGGCACAGAGCCAGGGGAGGCTGCCCGCTGGTAACTGGACAGGCTGGTCTGAGGCCCGCAGTGCTCGGCGGGAGGAGGCCTAGACAATGGGCCCTTGTTCCCTGTCCTCAGGCCCAAGGCCAGTGTCCCGGGCTATCAGCCGGCTCCCTGCCCACCCTCAGCGCTCCCCGGGGACTCGCCACAAGGGGAGGCAGAACCAGGCCCCTCCAGGGAACCCTGCTCCACTGACGCCACCCCCAGGGAATAGAAACAAGCCAGGTCAGCATGCTCTTCTTCCTCTCACTCTCCAAGCTAGACTGCCCATAGGGCCTGGGTCTGGGCTGCCAGATCTGGGAGGGTTCATGCATTACAGCACTGCGACCTGGCTCTCTCCTGGGCCTAAGCGGGCCCTCGTAGAGACCTAGCTCGGATGGAAAAACAGGGATGCTCTGCTTTCCACAAAGCTGGCCCTGTGCAACCTCCACTACCCAGCACATTCTTTGCCCTGTTCCTCTGTTAACAGTGCGTACGCACAGTGGCAACAAGCCCTGGCAGTCACTGTGTGGCTCTAGGCTAGCCTCAGGATCCTCGGTGATGTCTGCATATAAGTGTAGGAGTTCGGGGCTGGCCGGGCCCATAGTGGGCACCACTGTTTCACACAGAGACTCACTGTGACAGAGGGATGGGGGCTGGGGGCTGGTGGCTGTGTCAGGAGCACAGCACCTTCAATGTTCATGGCAGGATGTCTGCAGGTGCCACCAGAGTGGAGTTTGGAGCAGATGTGGTGGCTTGGGAGGGGTGGAGGGGGGGGAATGGAGGCCCCAGGTGACAGACGCCAATTCAACATGAGGAGGGATTTGTTGGTGGCTCACGCTGCTATGGGAAGCAGTGAGCACTTGTCCCCAAGTGTATCCATACAGGATGGGGACATGCGGACAGGGTTTCCAGCTGAGGGCGGCTCTCTTCTGGCCCTAGGAACTCAGAGGCTGGGAGTTTGGTTCCGTCAGCAGATTTGTCAGAACATTCTATGTCCCGCAGGGTCCCTGTATGACTTCCTGCCTGGATCCTGGGTCCTGGCGCAGAGGAAGCAGGTCTACCCAACACATGACTTTTCAGGTGTAGGAAAGCACAGCTCACATGTGTTCCTAGTACACTGAAGCTGACGTCGGGTCCCAGTGAGGGACATTGATCTGCTTAAGGCCTCGAAGCAAGCCGGATGAGAATGAGGCTCCTAGCTCCCAGCCCTGGGCGCTCCTGGTCCCCGTCAGCTGCACTGCCCAGCCTGAGGTCCATGTCTACTGGCCTCACCGTCTTGGGGCACTGCAGGTCCCGGGCCAGGTTCACAAGCAGGTCATGGGAGATGGGGTCCACCAGATTGAGGAAGGCCACATTCCTGTAGAGGATGTCGGTGAGGAGGGTCCCCTCGAGGCCCAGGTCCTGTGGGTGGTGAGGAGAGTTGAGTGAGCCAGGAGTTGGGCTCTCCCTTCTCCAGGCCCCCATCCAAGCCAGCCCCTCATGTCTGTTCCCCTCTCTCTGTCTCCCTCCCGGATGCTTCCAGGCAGCAATGGGCCAACTGTCCAGAGGCAAGTGGACCCTTTGGATGAGGAGAGTGTCAGTGCATCGGGGGCTTCAGGGAGGTGATAAGTAGGTTCCCAAACCCTTAGACTGGTTCCCCGGAGGCAAAACATGGTACTGTGACACGTGCCTCCGCTGGGGTTGGGCTTATCTGGAGGGTTCTTTGGGGAGCTCCTCCGATGACCCCCCCAATGCTGCTGTCCTCCAGCATTCCTTCGGGGCCATTTGCCTCTCTTCCATTTATTCCTGAGCTCTCCCGAGTTCTGGCCACCATCTGTTTGCTGACAGGTCCGGGCCCCTTTTGTAGGCATGGGCCCCCTTCTCAGCTCAGATGTCCCAAAGGCAGCTTAGACTGGGTGTGTTCACCTCCTGCTGTGAAGCGCATCTCACCTCCTGTGCCCCATAGTAAAGGGCATCGCCATCCCCATCTTCCCAGCACTCAGGCAGGGGCCCAGAACCACCCTGCACTCTTCCCTCACCCCTCTCTGCCCAGCTCTCCCTCCCCACTGCTCCAGGAGTTTCAGGCCTCTCTCCCTAACAGCCTCCTCCCGGGCCTGTCAACCTCCCAACACCCATCTATTCCCACCCTTGGGCTGCCAGAGCCAGCTCCAGGAAACACACACCTAAACTTGACCCCTAACCCCTTTGGTGGAGACCAAATGCTCTCGTTGTGTAACACTAGAGACTCATGAGCTGCCTGGCATTCCCACCCTCCCCAGCCCACCAGCCTCTTTCTCCAGCCTCCAGGTCTCCCACCCCTCACAGAGACCTCACCATCGGGCCCCTGGCCTGCCCTTCAGTCCTTGGGCTTCTCCTCCTGTTATTCCCACAGGCCTGGTGTGGCACTGAACACCCTTTTAGAGATTATACTGACAAGCTGATGGGGCAGGCACAGCCAGGAGGGGCCTCCAGACCCCTGGGCCCTCCCCAAGCCAGAGAGTGACGCGGTCTGTGCGCAAGCCCCCTGTGTACAGGAAGATAGGCCAAGCGGGAATGCCCAAGGGCCATAACTGCAGAGTCCCTGTGGCTTGTGGGGCAGGACAGCCCCCTCTTTGGTTGGGAATCCTGACCTCTGAGACACAAGGGGGCACAGAGCTGGTTTCCCAGCTAAAAAAAAAAAAAAAAAGTCCCGCTGGTGCTTGGGCTCCAGATGCCGTCCCAGACAAAGATCTGTACCTCTGGATGGTCTAGCTGATTGGGTGCTGCTTTGCTGTTTGCATTTTAAACACCATTCAAGTTACAAATGCCAGCTAGGGAGGATCCAGAAGAGAGGGCTAGCTGGTGAGCCTGGGCTGACCCAGACAGGGCCCCAGACACAGCCAGCCTTCTGCTGGTCTGGACAGCTCCTCTTAAAGGGCCAGCCCCACCTTTCCAGCCCTGTCAGCCTAGAGAAAGGAAACCCAATGCAGCAGGGAGCGGGGCTGGGAGACTAGAGGTTGGGCTCCGGCCTCCGCTGCCCCCCAGTCTGCTCTGTGGTCATAGGCTCACCACTGTTCTCCAAGCCTCAGTTTCCCTTCTCTAATCATCCACCTGCAGGCCAAACACCTGCGTGGCTGATTTCAGATTCCTGGACGGGGCAGGTTGTGGTGGCAGCTGCTGTGGGTGATGGGGACATGGCCAGAGAGGGAAGTGGCTTGCCCAGTGGTGATGCTGGGACCAGAACCCATGTCTCCTAGGGCACCCCGGGCTGGCTCCGGTACCTGGTGTGTGTGAGACCAGAGGCGCACTGCCCCCCCACCCCACCCCAGTCCAGATGTGGTGTTGTGATGTACAGATGCCAGGTGTATGTACTCAGTGGGTGTGATTTGCCTGTTAGGAGGTGATGTGAGTTGTAGCTGCTATAGGCTCATGGTGGGTCGCACTGGCTGACCAGCTGGGCTGTCACTTCCCAGGGTCCTCTCTCCAGGCTCCTGTGCAGTGCCTCCCTTCACCCTGGAGGAGCCAGGATCTGTCCTCTTCCCCTTGCCCCGCAGTATAAGATATCGTCCCCCTCCCACCACTCCCTTGCCGCTCCTCCCTTCTCCCGCCAAGGCCTGAATCTGGGTCCTTAGCTCCAGGCTTGGGGCACCCTCAACACACACAACTGACCTCTCAAACCCCAGAGAGGTGGACACCGTCGCGGCCCCCTCCTCCGCACTCACAGCCCCCACCCCACCCCGCAGCCTCGCGGGCCTTCGCTCTAGCCGATTGCTTTCCGTCCCTCGCCCTCTCGCCCAGACAAGCCCCTTCAGCCAGTCGTACCCTCCCCTCGGAACCCTGCCGGCCCGCGCGCCCGTCCGGGGCCAGCCCTGCCTCCCGCGCCCCGGGCCAGCTCCGCAGCACCTCCCGGCCCCTTCCAGGCCCGCA